ACTAGCTTTAGCACTGAAAGCCACACCAACAACAGAATAGAGGAGCACTGATCTTGACCTACTGGCTCACGCTTTCCACAGGTGTCACCCACACCTACCAACTCTCTTGTACTGGTTAAAAATCACACAAGTATCACTTCGACGCTTTATTTAATACAATGTATAGTCCGCACAGCAGGTTTTATCAGCGACGATTTGTCGGTATTTCCTTGTCATCTACTACTACAAATATCCCACCTATATATTTACATAAACTATTTGTTAAAGCTACTGAAGGTAGTCTCTTCAATAACCTTATGGAAAATACAACTCCACTCATCCACAATTCTACTACCAAACCAGTGATTTTCTAATTCATTTCTAAATCTAACTACGAGTATATTAAACGTTTGAATCCATTACCCCGAGTTCAGTCTTCTTTAGATATTTTCAACCCTATATTATTTCTATCACGTAGCAAGAGTCATTACATCAGGTACAAACTTGACATTCTCCTGGCAGGCTCAACCATTAACTTAGTGAAGCTGGTTTATACTAGCGTTCCTCTGTTAGAACACAGAGTCGAGGCTAGGGTCAAGGTATGATTTTGTCTTATTGTTCTTAATGAGTAAGTTGTGTGACTTACAAAGCACTCGAACCCTGAGAGTATTCAGTGCTCTTAACATCAATTTAACCTAACAATAATAATGTAATGCAAATAATAAATCGATGCATTTTTTGCACTCTGATAGGATTGCTGATCTTTTGTGTCTCATAAATAGGTAAGATAACAAGTGTACTTTACAAACTTTTAAGTATGCACACACCTTTACTTTCATCACCATGACATTTAACTCAAGTTATTATTAATTGCAAACACAAAGATCACATAATCAAAATATAGAAGGCAACACAACAGTTGTCACCAAGACACGGGAACCAACAACAAAATCACCAGAATCAGAACAGAAACTTAATATCACCGAATAATTCGACACGATAGTTAGTATATCACTACACTGTAGCTAATAAAAAGTAAACACGAAGTGAACATTGTATCCACGTTCCTATCATCAACAAAGAGTAGGTAACATAGCAGCTCTTTGCATAATTCCTGATGAACTAACAGTCCCTAACAGCCAGGTATAAACACAACATATGATTACGGGCTCAGGTTTGAGGGCAGCGTGAAGAACACATTAGTCAGATATTCAATGTTAATTCTCTCGTTTACATAATGCATAAAAAAAACTGAAGATGGGAATGTTATCGTTTAAGACATATTGAAGAGGATACTTGCAAAAAATATCGTTGTGCGTACCCTTGTAAATATCATTGACAATATTAAAGAAATATTTTACAGAAATATTAAAAATCGATGGCTTTAAAAATAGCTTCAGAAAATACTGAAAATCTACTTATAGAAGGTTCAAAAAAGTCTTTACAAATAATTAAAAACACTGATACTTAGTAGTAAATTGTCAGGTTGAAGTATTGAAAATGCTGGAGTTTTGTTATGGTGATGGGGTTACCCCACACGCAAGCCTCACCACTCTGTGTTTCAAGGGGTGAATAGGGTACCTGGGGTGAATTGGGTACCTGGGGTGAATTGGGTACCTGGGGTGAATTGGGTACCTGGGGTGAAGAGCGTATTGGCATTAGAGCATCCCTCATGTACTCTAATGTATAACATACATTACTGAAGGATGTATATTTCATTATGTAAACAGTGATCGATGTTCGTTCTTAACATGAGTAACGCTGCCCAGCTGTATTTAGTGAAGCAAGTCCACTCACAACATGAGTAGTGCTGTCTAATGTCTGCTTGACAGAATGTTCACTAACAACATGAGTTGTAGTGTTTAATGTTGTCTGTATGACGGTATGTTCGCTAACAGCATAAGTGGTGCTGTTAAATGTCTGTATGGCCGTATGTTCACTGGCTTTGTAGTTGTACGTTCCCTCACAGCGTGAGTGGTGCTGTCCAGGGCTGTCTTTATGGTGGTATGTTCAATCACATGATAAGGGCACTGCTTTTGTCCCGAGGAGCGAGCGTACTGGACAGTGCCACTCATTCCATGAGTGTACACCCGCCATGACAGCAGAGCTTCACAACCCAAACAGTTGACACGGTATTAGAGATATCAACTCTATCCTTGTCATAATAAGCCTCCTGGAGAGTGAATCGTAGTCTTGTGTCAATTTTCATATTGTCGCTGGTTTTACCATTATCTAAATAATTACGGTACTTGTAACGGCAGCAAATTCTGCCATTTTTTTTTAAAAGTTACTAATCTTAGTTACAGCACAACCTACTGAAACTGTTCATTCATATTAGTAGTTTTATCTGTACTTGTAATCTGCTGCATTTAAAGATATGATGATGATGTGTGTGTTCAAAATTCAGAAACGTTACCACAATTATGCATGTCTCTGTAAGCACCGTATAAAGATTACCCTAAGGTGACCAGCACAAAGTGTTCATCATAACAGTGAACAGTGAGGTTATTAACAATTCTAAACGACACTTTTCCAGAGCTTTCTTATAAGGAAACTATAAAATTTAATGCCGCATGTTGGGATCTCCATTGTAAGTTTTAGCACCGCAATACGACAACTAGACGGCGAGTTGCAGTGTACGTAGCGAGTGATGCCACACGCTAATAATTACTCTTGTTAAACTGCCTGCACATCCCCGAAGGATCAAAGCGGCGTGCAAGGCTGAGATAATGAGCTGGGATTTATAAGCAGATCAGAGCAGACTCCAGAGAAGCTCCAGACACCTGAGCCAGGTAATTAAGCTCACTCGGCCACACTTCCTGGGGGAGGGAGTCTCACCTACTCAAGGTGTCTGACTTACGAGTGACACCCCTCATCCCTTCCCTCCCCCCGCAGAGTAAAATATATCCCACACAGGTGCAACTAATGTGACATTTTATTGTGGCAAGGTTGCCACAATAAACTGTCACATTAGTTGCCCTTGTGTCCATTTACCTAACATTTTGTCGGTAAATTTACCATTATTACTAAAATATATTCCTTCTAGAACAACCGGTTACCGCCAGGTCTATCTTCATACCTGGGACATTAGATATTCCTTCCAGCATATCTGCTACTACCAAGCGTATCTTCACACCTGGAAGAAATATCTGACATTAATCTAATTACTATCACTATCACCCTCTACTATAGTCTTATTAGTATACTTTCTTATAACCCTTCTCAACATAGTGCCGTTTTTTCTAAGTACGAATGAAAAAGTACATTCAAAAGTAAACACCGTGTTAAGAGGTCTTGATAGTACGTGGTATTTAATTTTCTTTACACGCATTTGCCATAAATCACAATCAAAAGAGAGAACTTACTGTAACTCTTACTTCTACTGACAAACTGTACTTTAATAATCACTAACACACTGAAACTACAGAGACGGGTACCGAAAGTTCTACTTCTGCAGCCTGGCCAGCGACCAGATTCTCTGATGGTTGCCTGGTCAACCAGACTGTTGCTGGCGAGCGTGATAGCTCCCTAGACTAGTAACACGTCGTATATACAAGTATTGTCATTGTTATGCTCAATGTGAAGTACTAAACCTATAGGGGAAATACGGCACTTGGGGAATGGGGAGCGGGTATTAATCAGGTTTGGTTCAACTAAAGGATCAAGAGCCCTTGACCAGCACCACAGCATCCTTCCTGAGGAATCTTGCTTAAGTAGTCGAGACAACTTAATTTATCTGGTGTTGCAAACTGCAAGTCCAACTGGCAGTGGCACTCCCGCCCCTAGGATGATAGTGGCACTCCCGCCCCTAGGATGTTAGTGCCACTCCCGTCCCTAGGATGTTAATGGCACTACCGTCCCTAGGATGTTAATGCCACTCCCGCCCCTAGGATGTTATTAGTACTCCCACCCCTAGGATGATAGTGGCACTCCCGCCCCTAGGATGATAGTGGCACTCCCGCCCCTAGGATGATAGTGGCACTCCCCCTAGGATGATAGTGGCACTCCCACCCCTAGGATATTAGTGGCACTCCCGCCCGCTAGGATGATAGTGGCACTCCCACCCCTAGGATATTAGTGGCACTCCCGCCCCTAGGATAAAGTGACACACTCCTGTCCCTAGTATAATGGTACAATGACACTCCACCCCTAGTATAATACAACCATCACAGATCATCACACTGTTCAAGCGTCTTGTGAAGTAATTTCCCGGATATGCCTTTGATGAGTTCCCAGAGTTTTTCTGCTCCCGGAACCCGGCCATGGACCAGGCTCGTTTGGCTTTTGCCTGGTCAGCCTGGCTGTTGCTGCTGGTGGCCCACTGCCCCACATATCCATCACAGCCTGGTTCTGGCACCTGGTGAAGATACTTGTCCAGTTTCCTCTTGAAGACATCGAGGTGGCGGCCGCTGTGGCTCTCCTTCACGACACATTGTAATGTTGATGTTAATTTAAATGACCATCTGAAAAATTATATCGAATGAAAAATTGATAATGTGTGAGGCTGGTAAAGATTAGACAAATTGCTGGAAACATTTCTTACAGATCCGGGTCTGTGTTGACATGACTTGGCTCACTGTAAATAAAGCATTACCACTGTGTGTGTGTGTGTGTGTGTGTGTGTGTGTGTGTGTGTGACCAAATTAATATCTGCATAAATAACTCTGTACGATTGTGACCGGATATAAACATGTAAATCTTTCATTACCAGTGTAACTTGTTCAGTTATCACAACTTTGCGGCCCAGTCCCTGGATCCATTATGTACCCGCAGTATGGGTATGGGCGGCATAATAAGGATGTTAAACTTTGTTGACATCGTAGCATTAAGCAGTTGTGGAGATCTGTCGTCTGCACACTGGTGCAACTCTCTCGTTCCACAGCCTCCCAAACATTTACACTAAATTTTGACCCTACCATCCGGTTACATTCATGTGTGCTCTGACTTTCCCTTTAATTACTTAGTTGTTGTAATTATCTATAGATGTAATTACTTAGTAATAATTATTTGGATGTAATTACCAGCTTGAGTTTCTGGGCGACGAGCTCTAGCTCTGGTATCCGCATCTTAAATTTATGGTGGGTGACGTGATCAGTCTATCGTATATATTTTTAGAGTTGTGCAATGTTTTCAGGCCCCGCCATGTTATTTTCCAGTCCGTTGCACTTCTTTACTCTGGCGTTACAAAAAGCGTTTCCTGAAGTCTGTGTGAGTCATCTTGGTATCCTGTTACCATCTCAACCCTCGTCCTGGATCTTCCCATGGGGAACGGGCTGTACTAGTTCACGTTATGTCTCCTGTTTTGTTATTTTATGATCGTATGTCTTCTAGTTCTCCATTCTGCCAGTGTCTTAAGGTTCAGTTTGTGAGGTCTTTCTCCAGACCTGTTTATCACTTCCGGCAAACAGTCTGGGGACAAAACTTTATACTTTACTTGGAGTTTAATTTGCTATGCTGGGTGTAAGCTACACGCTGCTACTCTGTATCCAAGTCATATTCCTACATGTGTAGCAAATAGCAATCAGTCCTTTTCAAGTTTCCAAATGCCTGTTTTTCTACATCAGTCAGTCTGGCGTGATGTTACTTCGTGTTGACAGTTTGTTAAGGTCATACGTTACTTTGCTCATCCTCCTTGAAATTCACTTTTTTTTTTTTCACTGTCTTCTTTCTTCTATTCTAATTTGTCTTACCTGTATACCAGGGTTGAACTACAGTAACCCCATCTAGGACAAATATTAAAGCCAGATCAATCTGTCTTTCAAGTTCTTACAGTTGTCCTTTGTTTATCATCATTAGTTGTCTGTCGTCCGCAGACACTGACACGAATGATACACTCCCTCCTGGAAGGTCGTTTAAATACACAAAGAAGTGTGGTCCTTGGCTGGAGCCTTTGTGGGACCTTCCTGGGACCTTGTTTACATACAGTTTCTTATCCTGTTTTATGTTAGTCGCTTAATCCTGTTTCATGTCATTTAGTTAATTCTTTACTGATTTTTAGTACCACCATCTTGCTGTGGCCAACATTTCTGGTTTGTGTCTCAAACTTCCGTAAAACACTATCAATCGTGGAACATTCCTTCAGTCAACTTCTCTCTTTCTTGTCTAAACACCGTCAATCCCTCTTAGGTTTCTATTGGATCATAAGTCAAAACTGAAAATTCCTTAAATATTATTTTCTTATATGAATTATGAATCAAGGTGTTTCACCTGCTTCTTGCTTGCTATTTTTCAAGGCATCTCGACAGTCTCTTTTCTTATTAAGTAGTTTGATTACATTAGCTGTTTTCCAGGATGTTTGTGAAAAGTTTGTTGAGGGATGACTTCTTCGTTCATTGTCCAGAGCGATGTTCTGTCTGATCCCATTGTTTTTGTTATTCCCAAATCTATGACAGGAGAAAGGGATGAAAATAAACCTGAGAGAAAACAGGTGGTAACAAAAGAAAGTTAACAGGTGGGTGGATGGGCCTTACTATGTGTGGGATGTGGGATATGCTTGTGTGGCAGTAATAAACTAAGTTAGGTGTACCGGTAAGGCCTTTCTATCGTCGGGAAGTTTCATATGTTAGGCTTCTTTTTCTTGATTTTTTCTCTGGTTCTCGTTTAGCATGCGTCTCTTAGAAATTTGTTCACTATAACCTGTGTGACATGTCCCAGGTTTCTCTTGCAACTATAACTTCTCTGGTTGATTTACAAAGACACGTAAACAAGCACTAGGACATATTTATTAGACACGTTTCGGTCCTGGAACCCTGATCTAATATACGGAAGTTAAAAAAAGAACAGTATATACAGACACAGAGAGAGGTGAGAGTGCCACTCACACCTCTCTCTCTCTCTCTCTCTCTCTCTCCTTATACATACTGTCTTTTTAACCTCTGTATGTTAGAAGTGATCAAGGTTCCAGGACAAACATTTTCTAATAAATATGTCCTAGTGTTTGTTTACGTGTCTTTGTAAATCAATTTGTCGGTATTTATTACCAAGTTTTATAGCAACTTCTCTGGTTGTCTGGGTTAAAAATCAACCAGAAGAGGACATGCTTAGGATTTCTCAAATCTGCTTAGCTTCCTGCCATTACTTTCCCCCGCTTCATCTCTCAACTCATCTCTCAACTCATTTCTATTGCTCCAGTTATTTCATAATGGTTAATTCCTGGCTGAAGAAAGTACGGTAGTAGTAGTAGCAGTCCACGTCCTCTACCCAGTTATATCTCTTGCCAGTTACATTCCTTGCCAGTTACTTTCTGCCAGTTACATTCCTTGCCAGATTTCCAATAAGGTATATTTAAAGAAGGTATATTTTTCCCCTCCCGTTCTCACTCGGTGTGGAGGATGGAGAGAGAGCCTTCTGTTTTTCTATCCCTGACTCGCACATATAGATAATACATGATAGTACATAATCCTGATAAAAATAGACAAGTATTATATTGTTGACTCGTACATACAATCCACGATAGTACTTAATCCAGGTAGTAGATAGTTTTCAGTGGATAGTCTCTGTATGGACTTGCAAATTCTCTCTTGTCTGTCTTTCACATACACATAACATAACTTATGATGTCAATAGTTTATTGTTGTCTCACATGCTCACAGCTGTTTGGTGTCTTCCTTGTATGGTTTCTTGCTTTCTTCCATCCTCCCCAGGTGTTTGATCTTCGTCCTCCCAGGTCCCAGACCTCCCTGTCCTCCTCATGTCCCAGACTTCCCGGTCCTCCACAGGTCCCAGACCTCCCTGTCCTCCTCATGTCCCAGACTTCCCGGTCCTACCCAGGTCCCAGACCTCCCCGTCTTCCCCAGATCCTAGACCACCACCAGTGTTCTTCAGGTGTTTGATATCTTTCATCTCCGTACCGAGGTGTTCAGTGCTCATTTGTATGTAAATCTTCTGGTTTTCGGTCACAGTTGCGTTCTTCCTCTCATTAATCTCAGCGTTTTCCTCTCATTACTCTCCTCCCTGGTGCATCTCTCCTACATAATAAGTTTACGCTTCCCTGGTTCCTTACTGCTGCTACGTTCCACTCCACTCCTCTCCCAACCATACTTCCTTTATATGATAATTTCATTAATTTATCATTATTTATATAATCATAGATTGTGTGTGTGTGTGTGTGTGTGTGTGTGTGTGTGTGTGTGTGTGTGTGTGTGTGTTTTACCATTTTCTCATATGTACTTGTCGACTAGACACTTGGCCTGTTGTGTGTGTGAGGAGTACTGCACTGCTGAGAGTGTTCGTGTCGCAACAGCAAGATCATGGGTTCGGTTCGCAAGTGCCCCTGCTGACCCTGCCCACCTGCCAGTGGAATTACCGTAGTCTTGATTCAACAAGACGACGGTGACCAACACTACCTGATTACTTCAACTTCTGTTTAAAATTCTACGAGGCTAGGGGACTGATTACCCTCTATTCTACAGTCTTCCATTTGTGTCGCTGTATTGTACTGATAAAGCCACTGGTTGACGAAACGTCTACAAGATAAAGATACCAAGATGTTGCAAATGTGTCTAAAATAATGGATTTTTAATTGAAATTCATTAATTTTAGTGGTAAATATGAAATGTTCTAAAAATGTTCGAAAATCATTCAAAAACATGAAAATGTATGAAAGATCGATGGATTTCTATTCTTAATTTATCATCAAAAGTAAACGTATATTAGCTGATGTTTGTGCTCACATAGTGTGTGTCAGAAACACTCGGTGGTGCTGGAAGTTACAGTCTGTAAGACACTATATGCTGGGAGTCACAGTCTGTAAGACACTATATGCTGGGAGTCACAGTCTGTAAGACACTATATGCTGGGAGTCACAGTCTGTAAGACACTATATGCTGGGAGTCACAGTCTGTAAGACACTATATGCTGGGAGTCACAGTCTGTAAGACACTCCATCCTGGAAGTCACAGTCTGTAAGACACTCCATCCTGGAAGTCACAGTCTGTAAGACACTCCATCCTGGAAGTCACAGTCTGTAAGACACTCCATCCTGGAAGTCACAGTCTGTAAGACACTCCATCCTGGAAGTCACAGTCTGTAAGACACTCCATCCTGGAAGTCACAGTCTGTAAGACACTCCATCCTGGAAGTCACAGTCTGTAAGACACTCCATGCTGGAAGTCACAGTCTGTAAGACTGTTGTGTAGAGGACACTTCCTCAAAGCGACATATCAAATAAAAATATATATCCTTACCACTATTCTCTACCATTCCTTTCATACTCCATCCCTCCGTTGTCCTTCCCCCTCATTTCCCATCCTCTGTTCCCTTCACCCCCTTCCCTCCAGTATTCCTCTCACTCCCCACCCCCCGTCTTCTCATGTTCTCTGGCCTGTGTCATCTTTACACCTGGACGCCAAGGACATACTTGGCAGTCTTGTGTTCTGTGGTTACTTTTTCTTTGGTTGCTTCTGTGGTTGCTGTTTTTTTAGTGTTGTTGTGTTTGTTGTTTCTTTGGTTATCGTTGTTGTGTTTGCTGTTTCTTTGGTTAGTGTTGCTGTGATTGTTGTTTCTTTGGTTAGTGTTGCTGTGATTGTTTCTTTTGTTAGTGTTGCTGTGCTTGTTGTTTCTTTGGTTAGTGTTGCTGTGATTGTTGTTTCTTAGTGTTGCTGTGATTGTTGTTTCTTTTGTTAGTGTTGCTGTGCTTGTTGTTTCTTTGGTTAGTGTTGTGATTGTTGTTTCTTTGGTTATTGTTGCTGTGATTGTTGTTTCTTTTGTTAGTGTTGCTGTGATTGTTGTTTCTTTTGTTAGTGTTGCTGTGCTTGTTGTTTCTTTGGTTAGTGTTGCTGTGATTGTTGTTTCTTTTGTTAGTGTTGCTGTGATTGTTGTTTCTTTTGTTAGTGTTGCTGTGATTGTTGTTTCTTTTGTTAGTGTTGCTGTGCTTGTTGTTTCTTTGGTTAGTGTTGCTGTGATTGTTGTTTCTTAGTGTTGCTGTGATTGTTGTTTCTTTTGTTAGTGTTGCTGTGTTGTTTCTTTGGTTAGTGTTGCTGTGATTGTTTCTTTGATTAGTGTTGCTGTGATTGTTGTTTCTTTGTTAGTGTTGCTGTGATGTTTCTTTTGTTAGTGTTGCTGTGAT